GAGGACCAGACCGTGCTGGGCCAGCCCCGTATGCCACCAGCAGCACAGCAACACCTTGGAGGGACCCAAGTGAGGATAAACAGGAAAAATGACTATCATCCTGCAGCCTTCAAAGATGAAGGACAACAGGGACAGCGCCGGGACAGAAGGGCTCAGCTGGCTCAATGACAAGAGTGCGTGGCACATGCATCACAGAGGGTGGCATGTGGGGTGCGCAGAGCCACCAGCCCCACTAGCAAACGCCAGATGGGGAGCACTGTTCTGAAAGCAAAGGTACAGGGGCCATACACACACTTACGAGGCCTGATGAGGCCCACCCTCATCAGGACGCACAGACCAGACTCACGTGTCGCTGGCACAAACGCGGAAGCAGCTCATCAGTAGCTCAGCGGCTTTCTCCAGCATATCTCCAACTTTGCTTTTGCCTTTCTTTACCAATTGCTGATCGGCCTAATGGGACATAAAAACCTTTACTTTTAAAAGCACAAATGGGGCTGGTGAGATGGCTCAGTGGTCTAAAGTACCTACTTAGAACAAGCTTGGCAAAGCACAGGGACTGCGGTTCAATCCCCCAGCACCACATGCCAGCCAGCCCCGCCCCCTGGTGGGCTGAGCTGACCACACACACACACACACACACACACACAGCGATAAATAAATAAATAAATACAATTTAAAAAAATAAATAAAAGCACAAATGGACAAAACTAAGCGTCAGTGGGGCTGGTGAGATGGCTCAGTGGTCTAAAGCACCTACTTAGAACAAGCTTAGCAATGCAAAGGGACCACGGTTCAATCCCCCAGCACCACATGCCAGCCAGCCTCGCCCCCTGGTGGGCTGAGCTGGCCACACACACACACACACACACACACACACCCAAATAAATAAATAAAAAAATTTTAAAAATAAAAAAATAAAAAAACTAAGCGTCAGTATCCCAATTGGTTTTGGGGACCGCATCTAGTGACTATTTGATTCTGCTCACCCACCACTATCAAAGCTCTGCCTGCCAAATGCACAGTAGACAGCTTCCTTGCTGTCACCTCTCACTTCCTCTCCCTTATGGTGGCATCCACAGCCCTTCAAAGAAAACTTGGGATGCCAGTCATCACTAAGCATGACTGTATTTTGGATCTTCTTGGTTGAAGAACAAACCTGTCTTTTCTGGGCCTTGCTGTTGGCCACCCCCCCTCCCCCATGGTGACAACCACTTTCACAACCCTGGACCACTCTCGTGATGTCTGTGCCCATGGGGCAATTGAGGCGTGGAGGCCTCAGGCTGAGTCCCATCTCAATGTCCTCTGTACAGGCGCCTGCACCCACAAGTCTGTGAGAAATCAGGGTCTGTGGTTATAAGTTGTGTAGCTCATGGGATTCCGTGACAGCAGCCCACGTGAAGAGGTAAGTGATGATACCACAAGGCCAGCACAGGGAAGGGTCATTCAATCACAGGACACAGCATGAATGTTAGTGCCATAGTAGAAAAGGGTCACTGCTATGCTTCGGAGGCCACACGGAAACTTAAAGACTGCCTCATGAACTTTGGGTACAGTTTCAAAAAAGCATCATCTGCAATAATCTGAAAAGGCGACTAAAAGTCCCCTTCACGAAAAGACTGTGGTCCCCAAATTTCTTCAGACACTTCCAAGAAAACATCACCTCGCAGTGGAGTCTCAGCCAAAGCAGCAGAGCTCCAGATGGCCATGCACAACGTGGCATCCAGCCCTTACGGTATCCCGGGACCCTCTTCCCAAAACCTGCTCACTTGGAAATAGTTACCCTTTGAAAACCAGTGATGTCATCATGTAAGAGCTTAATTATGAGTATTTTAAATATTAAAATTTTTCCCAATGAAAATGTTTGTAAGTACAGTAACTACTAATGGACGTAATAGAAATAAAAGTTCTCTAAGGTCCTCATTTTCAGTCTAAAATGACCACCTGGTTCTTTTTATATTTGCTATTTCTTCCCTGAGACTTGACAAGTGTGTTCAAATTGTTCACTAAAGCTTTTTATGATGGTTGCTTTAAAAAAATTTTATGTGGTCCTGGGGATCAAGCTATGGGATGCTCTACCACTGAGTTACATCTCCAGCTCTAGGATTTCTCTAAAATGCCCAGGCTCGCCTTAGACTTGCACTCCTCCTGTCTCAGTTCCGGCTGGCTGGAAGTGCAGCCAGTGCCACCACACCTGGATTGCTGGTTGCTTTCAAGTCCTTAGCACATGGTTTCAACAGCTGTCATCCCAGAGCTGGAGTCTGTCAAACATCTTTTTTCACTCAAAACTCAGCAGCTGAGATCTGCTGGTCCTCGTGGATCTGACTTCCCGCTAGAGCACCATCAACCTCCCGGGCATTCCACTGTGCTCTCCGCTGACCCAGCTCCCAAGAGCAGAGGCCCGCCTCTTGGCCTCTTCCCTTACCAACAGGGCAGGTGACGCAGTACCGGCATGAGCAGACACTGTGAGGAGTGCTGGACCTGCCGAGATTCCGGAGACAGAATGACAGGAACGCGACTGCCCTTGCAGTGGCTACCAAGTGGGCTTTAGCCAGCGCATGGGAGCAAAAGGGGCATTCTGTCTACTCTCTCAGATCCAGATTTGGAAGCTATCCATCGCTCTTAAAGCTGTAAGGGATTCAGAACCAGAAGGTGGAGACTGCAGCTGCATACCCACTTTACGCTGACTCCAAGGCAAAGTCACCTGACTGTGTCAGGCCCTTTTCCTTTCTGCCACAGAGGCTGTAGCTGCTTCCAGAGGATGCACTGTGCTTGTGCTCCTCAGAAGAGAAGACCACATCTGACCAGAAAGAGAATGGTTCCACCCTTCGCACATTCCTGCACAGCCCCCAGGCAGTGCGCTGGCTGCAGAACCCTGCCTCTGTCTCCACAGAGTGAAAAATCCAGGCCAAAGTGTCAGCACCAATCTGCTACGCTACCTCCTGCTACTGGCTCCTAGGCCAGGTACACCCCAAGTCCCACTCATCCTTGGGAACTTTGGGAAGGAAAACATTAACTGAAGCAGCAGTCACCAAGTTTCAGTCTTCATATAACGTGAGGAGATTAAACTTACATTATTGGCAAACACTCGAAGGTCCAAGGCCACCGCGTACATGACAGGGAGAGCCCTGCAGAGCAGAGAACACACGTGATGAGGCTGTGCATACAGGGCCACTCACAAGGATGGCAGAACACCGAGGCTGTGTTCCAAACAGGTGCCCCCACAAGGGCACACACCCACGCCTCCCCCTTGGCCCAGGCAGGCCGCAGCCGGGCTGCCTGACCAACTCCAAGGCCAGACCCTGCTGCCAGCCCCACACATCGTTCTGACCCCACTTGGACCCTGCGGGGTATCTGGGGGCTCCCACGACTGCCCCTCCCTTCCAACACCACTACCCACAACAGCCCCATTGAGAGTCATGTGGTTATAGGGCTGCCTAAGAGGAGCCAGAACACATGACATCACACCATGAAGAGGCCTTCTCTACATCCACAGGCAGCACTGACCTTTTGGTGTGCCTGAGCTGGTTCTTACCCAGCTAGAGGGAGGGCCTGAACTGCTGGTAAACGGCCTTCAGCTATTTTAGTATGAATAAAACCTAACAGTAAATTGTAAATCTTAAAAATAAAAAGTAGGAGCTGGGCACAGTGGCACACGTGTGTAACTGCAGTATTAGTAGGCTGTGGCAGGAGGATGGCAGTGAATTTGAGGTCAGCCAGAGCTAAATAATGAGTTTAATGCCAGCCTCAACTACGTAGTGAGACCAAAAAAAAAAGTCAGATTTTAAAGAAATAAAAGTAGTTTGTCAACTTCAAATAACCCAACTATTATACGTATTACCTCAAATGAACTGTAGTTCATTTTTACCCAAAGTTTAAAATAAAAAGTTAGCTCAAGATTAAGAACCAAAAGAAAAAGTAGCTTTTAATCAATACCCAGGCACATGATAGTGCTACATGAAAATATTTAATGCAGAAATACTGTAAGTAAGCTGGCTGATCTACCAACTGCCTAACAGATCACTATAATTCTATTATCCATGTATTATCATATACCAACATTTTGATACTAAATATCCACAGAAAAAAACACAATATATTTTTAAAACAAAATTTTGCAAAGTTCTGCCTTAAAAATGAATGCCATTTAGCTGCACAGCCAGCCACGCCTATAACCCCAGCACTAGGGAAGCTGGGGCAAGAAGATCACTGTGAGTCTGAGGCCAGTGCGAGCTACGAAGTGAGTTCAAGGCCAGCCTGAATGCATGGTGAAACCCTGTCCCAAAAAGACAAAAAAGCAACTACAAAAATTTAAATGTCCTTTGCTCATTTCTAGCTGCTTCCACACACACTCACCAGTTTTCCTCTTTGTGGGCCTGGAACGCCCGCAGGAAGGACGTGCAGTGTTAAGGAAGGCAAGAGGCAGGACTCAGGAGCGCCGCAGGAGACGAGAGCAGAGGACGGGTTCCACACCTGAGAGGTGCACATGGCTCAGCCTGATGGTTCCTGGGTCCTCACCGTAAGGGTGTGTGGCAGATAAGCAGCTGAGTCCCTGCTACAAGCTTTCTGCACCATGAAGTTTCTGTATACTCAATACTGTACACTTGTAAGTAATTTTCCCAATGTGAGACTTTCTTATCAGATTTTAAAATCTGGCCTGAGATCAAATGGCCACATTGGCTGCTCCACAATCTGTGGTATAAAGTTTACTTCATCAACTCTAGAATTCTTAGATTCTAAGGAGATTTGCCTGGTAACCCCACTTTCTTCTGGGCGTGTTTCAACAAGACGGTCTTATAAAAACAAACTAAGCTCTAGAGATGCCACAAACACTACATTCACTGATGAGGGCCTGGGCCCTCACCTGAGCCTTGTGTCTCCAAAGGTAGGACAGTGGCTTCATGAGGTCATCAGTGCACACGTGCCTCCGCCCACCCTTGACCATGAGGCCCACACTTCAGATGCTTTCTCCCCCGGACGAACCAGTCTCAACAACTAACCTAAGGCCCTAAGGGTAACCATGTGTCCTCTCCCCACAGTGACATGGAAACCACCTTCTAGCCAGGGCTCTTCCCTGCTGCATAGTAACTGGACGCATCTTAAGCTCCATGCAAACTCAGTTGCCCAATGAAACAGGTAACATGAGTCTACCTTCCAGAATATTTCAGTTCTAACTGCAGGTCTGAACAACTACTTCAATATTTCAAGGTCTGGAGTCCCACAGCCCACTGTCCCTATCATCCACTGCACAGCACCACATGTGACAAAGGATATTGGACTATCACCGTTTGGCACTTGTATGCCTCTATGAAGTCGTGGTTCCCTACCGCGTAGGTGCACCTGGAAAACAGATGTCACCACCAGTGACAGTGGCATCAGAAAGAGCTTTTACACCAAGAAAACCCAGATGGCAGCCATACAGCGTGGCTTTGCAGAGTGCCCCAGTCTCCATGGGCCTGGAGGGGAGCTGGTGCTCTGCTGGGCAGGCAGCTGAAGGCCTGGCAGGGGAAGGGCACCCAGGACTACAGGGGCCAACAGGGTTGGTATGAGTGTGAAATCCACAGGGAGTATCAAGGTCCTCTGCCTGGGCACAGAGGGGAGCTGCCCCAGCAAGGCTGAGTGCTGTGCTGTGGACAGGTGGCACGGCATGGCCCTGATGCTGTGCCAGGACCCCGCCCAAGCCTCCTGAGCAGCCAGAACCAGACAGGCCACCATCTAACCTGACCCCCACATGGGCTGCATAGAGCTGGGTGATCATAGGGTACTCATCCCCTGAGATGTGGGGTACCAGGTTTCCCACAGACCTCACAGGTTGTGGGCCTTCCCTGCTCATGTCAGGTCCACATCCAGCCTTCTCTGCAACACAACAGGCTAGTCACAGGCCTCAGGACACAAAACCCTACCTGGGCTGGTGCTCCAAAAGCAAAAGAGCAGCACAGAGTGCAAGTTAAAAGCAGTCATTATGAGCTGGGGACACAATGGTGGAGTAGTTGCTTAGCAGGGGCCAAACTCTGGGTTCAACCTCTAGTACCATGGTTAAAAAAACAAAAACAAAACACAGTGTTTTCTGTTACTGTTTCACTTTGCTCAACTCCAGTTTTTTTTCCCAGCAAGGCAAACAGGTTAAAAAATAAACACACTTAGGTACAGTGATACATGCCTGTGTCCCAGCTATTCAGAAGGCTAAGGCAGGAGGAACAAAGTCTGAGACCAGCCTGGGGAACTAACCAAAACCTTGTGTTAAAATAAAAAAGGACTGGGGATGGAGCTCAAGGTATAGCACTTGCCTACCATGTGTGAGACTCTGGGTTTGGGTCCTAGTACGAATAAGTACGTAACAAACGACATTTCCGTGAAGGAAACAAGTGCTCGGCCAGGCTCCACACTCAGGGCTAAGACCGCTGTCCAGGCTGTGTGAGCAATACCAAGTGCCTCTCCAGAGCAGGACACAACAGCACATAAAGCCACGTCAGATTACAAGCGCGCTTTCCTACTTTTCAGTCAGTCAGTCAGTCAGTCAGTCAGTCAGTCAGTCACCATTCCTAACACAAGATGCTGGAGAATAAAATCCCTCCTCAGCTCAGTCATTCTCAGATGTATTTTTGGCCCCGCCAATGTATTACCTTAAATGAGCTGCAAACATTTCATCATAAGGAGGTTCCAAAACCTGTTGACACTTCTCTTCTGGAGAAGCCATCTAATTAATAAGAAAAATGGTGAAATAAAAGGAATGGGTACAGAAAGAGTGCAATTTATGCATACAGAGAGTGAGACAAACGCTGAAATTTCAGTTTACCCAGCATGGTGGTACACATCTATAATCCCACCATCCTGGGAAGCTGAGGCAAGAGGACTGCAAGTTCAAACCCAGCCGGGCAGCTCAGTGACTCAGTAATACCCTGTGTCAAAAAAATAAGGGCAAGCTAGGGATCATAGCCCAGTACAATGGTTCCAGGATCAAGGGTTCAATCTGCCATAGTGGAAAACAAAATCTAAAACCTCATAGTTTACACTATTTTAAAATTTAGTGCCTATAAAAGGCTTATGACTTTTTCAGAAACAAGCAGCCCCACTGTCCAACAAACAAACTATCCACTTTTGTGCGTATTTTGGTATCTAGGAACCAACCAAGAAATCTTATTAAGAGTTGCTGAGGGCATAAGAAGGCACACAGAACCTTCCATGAGCAGGCCTAACAAGGCCTAATTCACTGTCCCAGGAGGGAGCACACCACCACTTCATGGAGGGAACAGTGTCCCAGCTGGTAGGTGACATCAATTCTGACTTCTCTACCTCCCACCAGCTGCGTGTTAGGTACCGTCAGCACCTCAGGGCGTGATTGTTAATTCATGGATCCACCTCCCCGGCCAGGCTGTGTCGAACGAACTGCATACGGGCAGGTGCTTCTCTAGGAGACAGCACCTGAACCCATGGTCCCAACCAATGTGGGTGGGCACCACCAACCTGCCCGGGGCCTAGACAGAGCCCCTCTGGCTCCTGACTGCCCACCTGAACTGGGACATCATCCCACTTTCCTCAGCCCTTAGAATGGGTCCTGCCTGCATCAGTAGCCCCTGGTTCTCCAGACGCCCCCAGCATGGAGATGTGACTTCTCATCTCCATAACCACACAACCCATTCCTTGTGGCAATTCTCCTCACCATCCTCACCAACTATTTCGTACACACCTGTAAGTCCTGCTTCTAGGTAGGGTGAGGCAGGAGCATCACATGTTCAAAACCAGACTGAGGTGTAACTCTGTGCAAGGCTCTGGGTTAGATTCATAGTAACACACACACACACACACACACACACACACACACACACACACACACACACAGCTCTCTCTCTCTCCCCCTCCCTTCCTCCCTCTCCCTCTCTCCATGTACACAGGCTCTACTTCTCTAGAGGATCCTGAAAAACACACAATGGATTACTGAGAACTGAAAGAAAACCAGGAACACACGAGTTCTTATGGCTACGAGAGATGCAAACACGGGAGGGGAGCAGAATGACAGCAGGAAGAAAACACATCTCCTGTCCCTACTGCATAACCACTCAGATAGATGATTTCTCACATACGACAGACACACATGGTTCCACACACGGTGCACAACAGCACGAAGAAAACGCAGCTACAGTTCAAGGAACAGCCCCTTCAGACAGCAGTCAGTGGCGACGGAAGTGGCGTGGGTCTCCACTGTCCTACAAAAGGAAGCACGCAGCCCTGGGCGGGGTGCCCCACCCAGTGAGCCTGAGCGGCACCACGGCCCGGCACCAGTGTCCACAGGCCTCAGTGCAAATGCTCTGCCAGGAAAAGCCTGTGGCTGCCCTGGAGGCTGACTTTCTTGGCGGGGCTCTGGCCTAAAGCAGGCCACACAAAATCGCTAGCCCCGTTCTCTTTTCCAAAAACTCTGTTCCCTCTAGGAACACATTCCAGTATGACAGGGGGAACAGGACATGGGGCCTTGTACACTGTCTCCCACCTACACTCGCCATCAAGTGAAGACCAAGTGCGGGCAGGAACTCTCGCAGAAGGCCTTCTATGGGCCTGGGTCCTATGGCTGGGCCCCTACATGCTGCAGCAGGCAAGCGGCCCAACACCACAGGTGCCAGCAGCTGTGGCTCTACTCCAGTCACACTGCACTGACAGGCCCTGGCCAGGGCACTGGGAGGGACACAGCTGCACCACATGTGGCTCCTGGGCTGTGGGGACAGGCAGGTCTGCACAAAGCCCAAGGCCCAGGGCCCGTCCACTGGGTGACCATGGTCCATGCACCCCTCCCCTCTCCAAACCCTAGGGAGGTGTGTAGGAATTAAGTGCAGGAATGTGCGGGCTGTGCTCAATAGATGGGATGGTGTTACATGCAGCACAAAGAACTTCCAAGTTCTCAGACAAAAGTGATGATGCTAATCCTCTAACTCCAAACATCTTAAGAATGATTGGCTGGGCTCTGGCCTAAACCGGGCAGTTCTCTCTGGATACCTTGTGTTCAGCATGTCACCAACCTGCAGCCGGGGGTTTGCCACATGAGGGTGCTTGAAGGACACCAGCTCTGCACATGATGCTCCATCTCTGGTGTCGATCGCTTCATATACCTGCAAGGTGTCAAAAGGAAAAACCTCAGCATGCAGAGAATATTCTCTTCTACCAGGACCTAAGCAACACACCATACACCACGAAGCTCAAGCTCCCCTACCCTGAAGGGGGCCAGGATAACCCAGACACAAGACGCCCATATAGCCAGGAACAAGAACTTCAGCTCAAAATGGGATCTTCTGAAGGCCAAGAAAACAAGCAAAGCAAGAAAGGAAGGAAGGTAAAATAGCTTACTGGTTGTTTCGTTATTAATAAAGTTGATTTATTCTACTTGTACTTGGTCACACTAATGAAATATTTGAAAATTCACTTATACAGTGTAGCTTATAAAAAGAAACTCAGGAGACTGGGAGTGGTGGCGTGCGCCTGTAATCCTAGCACTTGGGCAGCTGTAAACAGGAGGATCATTACGACTCTGATCTATGTAGTGAGACACTGTAGAGCCTGTACTAAATACAAAGAAAGAAAGAAAAGAAGAGAAGAGAAGAGAAGAGAAGAGAAGAGAAGAGAAGAGAAGAGAAGAGAACTCAGCTTAACAGTTGGGTGCTGTGGTGTGCTCTGGTGCCCAGCTGCTGGGAGGAAGGGGCAGGGGATGGCTTGAGCCCAGGAGTTTAAGGCCAACCAGGGTAAAACCCTAAGATACCATCTTAAAAACAAACAAACAAAGAAGCTTAAAAGACATACATATCAAAAATTCAAAACTTAAATAGTTGGGACTAAAACAGGCCCATACACGGTAAAATGGGAAATATGCTTCCCCAGTATGCTTAATATTCAGTGGAAAACAGTTAACTGCAGGGAAACTGTGGCTCTGGGGAGAAAAGACCAAGACCGTGCCTGCTGTGGGGTCCCACGGAGCAGCGCAGCACCATGTTGCAGGCCAAACAAACACAAAATCTGCATGGGGAGGATTACTTTACATACAGTTGAATGAATAGAAGCCAAGTGTAAAGCTGCATCTGCAGTACACTAATACAGTCTAACAGTAGTAAGCTTTATATACATAAATCTTACGATAGCTCAGCGGCACAAGAGTCTGTCTGGCAAATGCAAAGTCCTGAGTTCGATCCCTGGTACTGCCAAAAATAAAAATAAAAATAAATCTCACGTACACATGGATTTCTTCCCTGAAATGAGGTCTTGGTACGTTTTTTCAGGCTGGTCTAGAAACAACGGGCTCACTGACCCTTCTGCCTCAGCCTGCTGGACAGCTGGAACACAGCCCTCTCCCGAGGCTGTGGTTACCATATGCTGCTACGCTGCTCTTCCCACCTCAGCCATAGTGTGATGTTGGTCCTAACTGCCCAGCTCTGGCGAGTGTCAGAGACTTGTGTCACACATCATGCTCAAGCCTGATGTAACGAAGGTGTGCAAGGTCTCCAGTGCTCTCTCTGGAGAAACCGAGGGGTGTGAAGAGACACAATGGGAGCGAGCGTTGTGAAACAGGGACGCACTTGGGACAGATGAAGATGCAGCGAACACTGTGCTTGCTGAGGTCCACGTCACACCTTCCCCAAAGCAGAGCAGATGTGTGCGTAGCAAGCAGCCCTACAGGGTGTGCTGCTATGACTCCGGCTCACTCCGTGTGTGTGTGGGGGGGGGTGCTGGGGATTAAACTTGGAACCTTGCACTTGCCAGGCAGGCGCTTATGCCATTGAGCTATCTTCCCCAGCCCTAAAGTAAATCCTGCAAACTTATATGAGAGGGTTTTTTCTGTTGCTTGTTGGTTGGTTGAGTTTGTGTTTTGTTTTGTTTTGGTACGGGGGATCAGATCAAACTCAGGACCTTGCATTTGCCATTTGCTGGAGCTCACTCATTTCTGTGACAGCCCTCCCCAGGTTGTCCTGGGGGACAGCAGGATGCAGTGGAACCCAACACCTGAGCTCTGCTCAGCCACACCTACCTGAACTGCATGCACCCTTAAGCTCCCCCTAGGCAGCAACTAGCCTAACTCCACTGAGCCCAGACTCCTGGAAAGGCCCCAGCAGTGCCCTGCCCTGAGGAGGATGGTGGGAGGAAGTCAAGAGTTGTGTGAAGGGACAGCAAGGACAGCGCGAGCCAACCAGGAAACCCTAGCAATGTGGCTGGCTGCTCTCTGAACACCAGCATCCCTGGCCACCTGCTGCAGATGCTTCAGCAAGGTCCAGCATGTTACACATAGAACCTTCATACTTTTAGATTTTAGACACTGACAGGGCCGGAGCTGGAGCTTAGCATGTGGGGTCCCAACCTGAGTTCCATGCCCAGCAGCCCCCATCCAAAGACCCCGACCTGGACGACAGAACCACAGCCCTAAGCAAAGTCTGGAAGTCTGTCGCTGGTGGGTGCACTGGGATGTATTCTGCCTTCCCCACCCTGGGGCACTGCTAGTGAACCTGTGGCATGTGTGCTATTTGTTTCTCTTTTAAGATAAAAACTGTTCATATATGAGCTGCTTTTCCTACGCTAAAACCTTGGTATTCAGGATTAATTGTCAAGTTGGCTCTTTGTGATAGGTGGGTTTGGGGTTGCAGTACGGGCATTTATCACTGCCCTGGGGAGCAGCTCTCTCAGCTGCTGGGTCACCTCTCACCCTTCAGGCTGGCAAACAGTGCACCATCCATACCTGAAACTTACAATTCCTTAAAAATGCACTTATTTTGTTCACCAGAAGGCCCAGAAGCACTGACTCCCCAGCGCAAAAACACTCCTGGCACCGGGGCTTGTTTTTCAAATTACATTCCCTCATTACCAGGAACCAGATCTCCCTGGAAAAAGGGCTGACTCCACAGCTGTGGCTAGGAGAAAACTGGGCAAGCCTGGAAGAAAAGAATGTGCTAGAAAGGGCTCAAAGAAGGTTGGGGATAGGCTTAAGAACCACAGAAACCAGCTAAAGAAGTGCTGGAACCATTGGAGCTTCAAAACAAATGATGGTGTGGGTCAGCTTTGACAACACTGGGACAAAACACCCAATACCCTAACCTAGCAGGTTACTGTGGGTCAAGGGTCCAACCCACAGCTGGCTGGCTCCAGGCAGAAATGGCACAGCGTTCATTATTAACTTCTAATTCTTAGTCTCATCATCAACCCAAGTTCTTCTCACTGCATAACTTAAGAAAGGCCCCACCGCGCCGTGCTCCTCACGGGACAGCAGGCGCTCTGCCCTCAGCGTTCGCAGCACAGTGAACCTGGCAGCACTGAGCCGAAGTGCTGCTGGGAACCTGCCACATGCATCCACGTCTATGTACGGGCGACTGCCAGTTAGGTACAAGTCAGAGCATTCTGGAATCATTTGGAGGCCTCTCACAGTTGGCAGGGTGGCAGGTGACCAGTGTGATGGCTGCTTAGAAAACCCATTCTGAGTGGGTTACAGAAGGGACATAAAAGCTTCATAACTGAGACTCCTGGATTCCAATAATCTGACATTTTAGATATGATGAGGGTGTATGTTCTCTGCTTCCTTTCACATACATATTTTTTTTCCTTGCTTGTCACAATGCCTACAGAGTACTACTGTTATTACAATTACAGTTATTATAATTATACTGTTATTTAGTGGCCAGGGCCCAGGAAGATCCACAGTTGAAGAAATGCTTCCTTCCAAATGCTCCAAGTACCTACATTGAAAAACACCCTATTTAAACAGTCTCAACTGTTTTCCAAGACCAAGAATAATAAATGAATAAATATGTAAATAAAAAAATAATTAAAGAAAGGGATTCTCAGAGTGCTTCTCTGAAAAGACATGCCAAGAAGAAAGGTGCTTTGATGAAAAAAAAGGAAATCAAGTTTAGCTTGACAGCCCACGGCGAGTAACTACCGCTCATTAGGATGTGGGCTGAGGGCTGGCAAACGACTCATTTTCCTGCCTGCCCCTCTAGCTGCACTTCCCTCTTCTGCTGGCCTCCACTCACTCCATCAACTAGCTTCCTAGGCCACAATGCAAAGGAAAGAAAGACAAACCTACTAGTTTCATGGAGCTAAGTTTGGAGAGAAAAAAACAAACCAACCCATAATGTCAAGTAACTGACAATAAAATGTAGTATGACACAATCAAGCTAAGGCTTCTGAATGGGCCATCAAAGAAGCCCACTCTATGGAAGTGACATTTCGTTTGTGACCTAACAACTGCAGCCAACACCACCAAATGCTTCCCGAATCAATCGAGCCCCTCTCTTTCCTTAGGCCAGCAACCCCAGCCCCAAGGATGCAGACTCCAAATAGCAATTCCTGCTCCCCAGTTTCCCTTGCAGCCAGGGGTGACACCATTCTAAGTGATCACGAGTTTCTAGACAATTTTCTTCCCTTAGGAAAAGCCAGGGAGTGTGAAGACAACATATTCTTCCCTTCCTGTTTCCAAATGCTGGTCACAGAAGGATGCTTGGCGTCACTACTAGCTGAGGGGAGATCACCAAGGCAGGCAGGCAGCAGAGGCGGAGTGACAAGACCAGTGCTAAACCAAGACTCATAAACTGACAAAAGAGTAGCGCAGTACGTCAGAATATCCGACAGACTTCACTAAGAAATAGATCTTTGGGATTCATTCATTCAGCACTCACAAACCGGCTTTCTGGTACACTTTAGAGGAGCGAATGCAAGCTCTGAATCCAGAGACAGCTGTGCTTGACCGTGCTCCCGCCACTCACCAGTCTCGGGCAAAAGCACTGTAAACACGGCTACCAAAGACCACCAGGCTGCCACGGATTAACACTACGTTGCCACACCGCGGCTGCGCAGCGGCTGACCCCGACCTCGGCACCGGCTCCGCCTGCTCTCCACCAGCGTCTGCCGAAGCAAGTGGGCCTGAGCCGAGCCCAGGATCCCCTCACCTACCGCGGGAGGAGGCAGGGCCCGGGCGTCCTCAATGGAACCACCGCCTCCTGCAGACGCTGCCAGGACCCCCGCGACCTTCCCACAGCCCCCAACTGGATCCCTGCCCAGCCGCCCGACCCCTGGGCCCTCGCTCCCGGGGACCCTTCTCGGCCTCCCGACTGCAAGACCTGTCGCCTACAGGGCTGACGCGGAGCCAGAGCCGAGGGACCCACCTGCTGTAGATACTGGTTGATGGTGATGTGCGCCATTGCCGTTGCCAGCCGTCGCGGGCGGCGACGCGTCACTTCCGGCGCGCGTCCGTCCCCGCCGGGCCCCAGCGTCACTGCCCTCGCACTTTGGTTCCGGATGGGGCGGCGCGCCCAGGAGGGGAACTCGGCCAGGCCCTGCCCCGGGGTGCGCGCGCTCGCGCGAGCCAGCACTCAACGAGAACCCAGAGCGCGGATGTCCGCGTGAGGCCGCCCCGGCCGCCGGCGCGCGC